TAGAAGTTCTCCAAAGCCTGGTGCACTCACAGGTAGGGCTTTTGGGAGTGACTGGATCATGGTTGTGTGATACTGGAGCACGAGTGTGTGATGCTGGGTTAGTCCACTGAGGGTTCACAGCCGGGTGTGATGTTGGGAGGTGAAGTCTGGTGGGAAGAAATGGTCACTGTGGGTGTGGCCTGGCAGGGTGTATATCTCTGTCTGTCTGTCTATCATATCTATCTATCTAATCTAATCTATCTTCTATCATCTCTATACCTATCTATCTCTCTCTCTCTATATATATTATATTCTCCTTCTTTCTCCTTTGATCCTAGGTACTTCCCACCTGCCATGCTCTGAGCTCTTTCTCCGTTGTCATGCCTTTCCACCACACTTCCCTGCCTTAAGAGACAGCTAAATGTGGACTGAAACCGCTACAAAATGCAAGCCAAAATAAACCTTTCCTCTTTTAAATTGTGGGAGTTGGGTATTGCGTCTCAGCTATGAGAAAGTAACTAAGGCAATACTTAAGAAATACTTTTCTTCTTAGAGTTCAAAGTTGTAATCGACTTGAGTGCTCTGCTCCGCATTTTTGGGCAGTTTTCTTTTTTAACAACAAGATTTTGCATCAAAGTGGATACTGCAGAGACAAGAGGCTTGCTAGAACCATTGGGACAAAGCAAAATTAGTGATTTCCCAGGCATAAAACCTTGAATGATTTAGGATTTCAGGAAGAATGTTTTATTCCTTGAAAGTTAGTGTCCAGGCAGCTATTGATTATCATCTTTTGGCTTTAACCTTTTGTCTACAATAGGTTTAGAGAAAGGGAAGAAGAATGATGCTGTGAGATAGATATATATATATATATATATATATATATACATACACATAATTTTCTTCAATTGGAAAAATGGAAATACAATAAGTCGTCATGTCTGCTTTCAGAGATATAGTACGTGGTGGTCGGGGTTAAGCAGCAGGTGGAAACACAGGTGAGAGCAATCCACAGAGCTCCAGAAGCTGCTCTGACAACACAGTTGCCATCTTACTTTTCTTCCTGTTTCAGTTGAAGAAATGGCCTGTAATCCAGACTGCTGGGGGTCGGAGCTTGCTTTGAAGACTGCAAGATGAGCAATCAAGAAGGGTCCTATGCCCGAAGGATGCTGAGGTAACACAAAGTTCTCTTCACCGTCTTGAAATTCTTAATTTCAGAACAAGGGAACTTGCATTTTCACTTTGCTAAGAGCCCTGTTAATGATGTAGCCTGTGCTGCCTGCGATTTAGATATTCTTGACAATGGGGTTGTTAGCTACAATAAGAACAGAATGTAATAATTTAGAAACTGTAGTTTACTAATATTTACTAATTCGACACATATTTTTGAACATGTTAAGTAGTGTGATAGGTACTAGGAACACAATGACAAACAGGAAGCTATTGTCTCTGTCCTTCAAAAGCTTTACCTAGTACTTGGGGAACAGAGACGATGGAAGAGAAAATTACAATAAAATGTAAGAGATACCGTGAGAGGAAAGATACTAAAGGAGCAAGTAGCGGAGTTTTCTATAAGCAAAATCCTGTTTTAAGCAATTTCCATATCTTGATATATTGTTGATCAAACTATGTTTTCTGTTTTTCAAAGGGGATGGACAGGATATCTGATGCAACATTACTTTCTGCTACAAACAGTATGGCTAGGGTGTACATTATTTAGCATTGAGAAGTTTTCGTTAACTCCTAAGAGGATGGGAGAGGAAGGCAAATTGTTCTGTCTTTGCCAAGTTAATGATGGGTCTCCATGAAATTCCATGATCAACCATTTTAATTAATTATTTGGGAAGCAATTTTCCAGTTAGGGGACACAAAGGCCCTAATTATAGCTGCTTCTAAAGAGGACACAATGAACTCATTTGTTTTGCTCAGCAGCCTTAATAACCTAGTCAATCCCTTTACCTTGCCCTCTTTCCCTAGGCCCATGTTAGAGGGCTGCTCTGGAGAGTGGTGGTGACCCAAAGCGAAATGACCGGCCTCGGAGCTGGCGGAGGTGTTCAGTAAGAGATGATTGGCGGGATCCTTTATTGACAAGCTGCCACGCGCTGTTTGCATTAGCGAACATGAGAAGATGATGGTTCCTTCTGCGAGCCCCCGCGAGGCCTCCGCTCAGTGAGATAGCAGAAACGCTTCGGTTTACTTAAAGCATTGATAACACCTCTAAATAATTAACCGAGGGCTTCCTGTCTTCAATTACTTAATGCTTTTTTTTAACATCTTGAGAGGATTATAAGCAATTTATGGATTTCACGTGATGAGTGCTTTCCCTGCTATTCCCACAAAGCATTTACGGGATCATGTTTCTGAAGTTCAGAGGTAATTAAAAATAAGCACGGAGACAATGGGGCTGAGGCAAGGTGCAGCGGCTCCCTCCTGCCATTTCCAAGGACCTCGATTGTTCAGGCTCCAGGAAGACTAGTGCTACAGCTTCATTAGTGCTCTGCTGCTCAGGGAATGCCAAGGTTTTGGAAATGAGGAGGAAATCCACACATTCATCCTAGGGGGTTCAGGCAGCCCTTTCATCAAACATTTGAGATGCAATGGGAAATAAATTTGATTATTTTAGCTCATTCCATGAACTCAATAAAACAGTCACTCACATCATAAATACTTTGGTACTGCATTTGGTCAGTCAGCTAACCGTGCAACTGAATTTTTGCTGGCAGATAAAATAGGTAACATTATACAGATCTCAGGTATTAGATTATTTAATGCTGGATGCTGCTCCTGTCCCATAGGAACTGCATATAGAAGGCTCTGTACTTGGTGAAGTTTTGCTGAATGACAGTCTATTTTCCTCACTCAACAAAGAAATCACTCTTTTTAGGGCCTTTTGGCCAAACAAAATATGATCTAAGTATATTTAAAACAGAGCAGAGGGATAGATCAAATGACTTCTAAAAGAATTTTCCATTTTTTAATTTGTAAAAATTAAAATTGTGGGCATAGACCTTAAAATATTTATCATAATAAAAGAAGATATCTGGCATCAGGGCATGTTAATATTTGAAGTCCTCCATGATGTGAAAATATTGATTGAAAATGACAAATGAAGAACTGGAAGAGGGAAGGAATTTAAAGAAAAATCTTTGCAGTTATTTAATGATTAATGAGGCCATCAAGGCTGGTGGTTCCAACATTACAGTTGAATTTGGTCTGTTGATGTACAAATGCTGGTTTCTAAAAAAGTGCAAACTAAAATCACTAGCAACAATTGAAAACTAATGCTGGTTAAATACATCTCATAAGGAGAAATTTCATTAGCCATGGATCTTGGTTTATTGTGAATTATTTACTGGTACAAAGTTTTACTGTGCATTACCTTCTCTTTTTAATATCTAGTTAGCATCCCCTGTGTACTCTGAGTCCTTTTTGTGATTTCTGCCCCAGTCCAGTACAAAGTCTTTTTGTTGCTCCCATGGCACTGTATTTGCAGTTCCCGTTTAGCATGTTGTTCTCTCTCTGAGAGCATCTCAGGAGCAGCAGCTTTATCTCAGAGCACGTCACCGCTGTCTAGGACTCAGCAAGTGGGAGACTTGGTTTTGGTTATAAAATGGAATTCGGTTTCCTAAGAGGGGGAGGAGTGGCATCGGAGACACACTGAGTGGGCCAGTTCCTTCTTCATCTTTCAGAGGTGACTGATAAAATGCCCCTCACTTGGGAGGAGGGGACGAGAATCAAAGGAGCCAAAATGCCAATGGGTCTTTAAAATGAAAACCCGATGCAAAGGGAAGGGTGTAACATACAGAACAACACTATTCCAATCACTTGTTATGATTTTCATTTCAAGTGAAACAAGATACAGGAACCAGGGTGATCATTTGAAATCCCAATGAGGGATTTCCTCCTACCCATGATCACGGGGTTAGCTGAGGATCTGGAGATGAGAAAAGCAACGTTCCAAGATAAAAATATGTATTCGGCATCTAAACTTTGACAACTAATTGGGACAACCCCACGGACCCAAGTAGGCCCTGAATTACTTAACCTCTCAAAGTACTCTTTCCTACAAAGCGGAGGTGGTAAGGCTCCCTATCCTGCAGTTTTGTGAAGACAGCCAACTTAGAGCATGGCGAGGGCTCAGGTAGTCTTTGGCATGTGTGAAATTCATTTATTCCCCAGTCATTTATTTAGCTGCTATTGCTGAGTTAAAGATTATTCTCAGAATCACTGGCACAGGATGGAACAAGCTGCGTCAGGTCCTTGCTCCCTTGGTGCTACATTTGAGGGGTCAGAGGAAACCCAAGCCCTATAATTATAGGCAGTGAGGGGTCTGCAATTCAAACCGAACAAAGCAATGTCTTAGTATTTGAAGAGAAGCTGCTGCTGGCTAAGCCAGAAAATACATCTTTTCTCCTCCAAAGTAACATCCAAGCTAGTGGATGTTAATTATTATAGTCACTACGAACAATTATCTAACATGATATTATTGTGCTGTAGTATTATAACATTATTAAAGTTAATTATAATAAACAATGCTATAATACAAAATAAAAATAATACAGTTACTTTAATTGACATTAATAATAATAAGAGTCACAACCAGTCAATTGTCAACTAGCTGTGTGCCTGAATTACCCACTCAGTGGACGAATGTCAGCATCTAGCTGATTTTTCCTGCCTTCCCACACATTCTTGGCTGTCGTAGCCCCATTATGTAGGAGGATATCCTTGGGTAATGAAATGCACCTTACTGTTTGTTTGAAAAAAAAAGTTAATACCGATGCAAAAACCCTACTCATCATGCATATCAAAGCCAAATATAAATTATTTCTGAAGTTATCTGCTGTTGTGGCTTATTGCTGCCAGTGTGGGCTCCTCTATTAGCATGGATAAGTGGGCCCTGACCATATGTCAAGAGCACACGTCCTTTGGAAGTGACCTCATCTATCAAACACACACCCCTGGGACACCCTGCCCCTCCCCACAATGACAGGCTCCTCCAGTAGCTTTTCTGCTTCTTTCACCTGTGACCGTATGCTGCCTCCTGTGAGTGGTGTCCATGTAGATGACACCTCTGCCCTCCTGCCAGAGCCGGTACTCTTTAATGACGCCGTTTGGTTTCCCTGGGACGCTCCAGCTGAGATGCAGAGCTTCTGCACTGAGGGCTGTGACACTGGGTGGCTCCACGCTCTCCGGGACTCCTTGGGTAGTAGCTACGACTACCTAGAAGCATAGGAATTAAACAGCAATTTACAGTAACAGGACACGGGGTACCCTGATCAATGGGAATGTCACTTTTGTTTTAAAATGTTGCTGCCTGGCCTGGCATATCATTAGCACAGGCTTGGAGAAGCAGCCCCCCTTTTTTATTCTTTTCCTCCTATCCTATTTAAACAATGAAATCTGACCTTGAATACACTGCGTAAGTCTCCCACTACCATTCATCACTACAGGTTAAACACAATTCTGACGGTGGAGTGCAGTCCTCAGTTTAAACAAGGAGAATCTGGCCGGCAGACTGTCTTCCCAGAGAACTCTTGGCAACTCTCTTCCATATGGCCCATCAGTGTCTTTGCATTTTAACAGCCTGATTTTGCACATTTTAAGCACCCGTAAATATGGAGCAAAACCTACATCCCAACTTGCTTGCATATAATATGCTTCGAGCAGTATAAATGGGCAGGCCTTTGTGCCATGCTGTGATGACACTAGGGATGATTTTATAGTGTCTGCACCAAGAAAAAGAAGCAAATGAGAAGGAAAAAAATGAACGATCACCTAGATATGGAGTCAATAACGTCAACAGGTAGTTTTGGACAAACATCGGTTGCATTTTCTTTTTAACCAATTGTTTTGGCACCTGGTAGATTTGAGCTGGATCTGAGTAGAAAGCATAGAATGACTCCAGGATCATTCGGCCCGCCGCTTTTGAGTCAGCTGCTGTCTGGCTCTGTGTGCTCAAAGAGGCTCTGGGCATCTGCTGGACAAACCTGCGCCTGTCCCCTGGGGCTGCGCTCTTTGGGGTCTCATTTGGTTCCTTCCACTCTGGGAAGACACTGCACTCCTAAAGTTTAAAGATGAAAGACCCAGAGCTGTTGAATGTATGTGTGTTTCCTCGCAGGGTGCTTCTGTGAAGTGCTCTGTCTTTATTTTCCTTCTAAGTTTTTGTTTCTTCCCTGTCTTTTGTGTGGGAGCTTCTTTCTTCTTCATTTTGTGGTATTCCCCAATGCTCATATGGGATACTGTTTTTGTCTCCCTCTAGAGTTTCTTTTGATGACCACATTTAAACTCATTGCTTTAATTTCCTGTATAGATCTTTCCAGCAAATTCCAGTTACCTAATCCAGCATCAGATTAGACATTTTCATGTAAAATAATAACTTCTTATGCTACCCTGCTATTGGCACCTTCTCTTTAAGTATTTTTACTTTAAAAATTTAATTTTATTTACTTTTAACATTTACTTTTTTAAAATGTTGCTCACAGAATGATACAATATCCACCAATTGCTCAAGCCAGCTGTCTTGAAAATATCCCTGCGACCTTCCTGTTGTTCCTCTACAGAGTTGATATCAAGTCCTGCAGATTTTCCCTGGCTCTCTGCTGTGTCTTCTGATGTTTTCCTTTCTGGCCCCTGGTTCCGAAGTTCATGTCTTCATTATTTCTTGCTAAGGCTGCTACTGAAGCCTTACAAGCAGTTATTTTCTATGCTAAGCTCTTTTGTTCTTTTCTGTCTTTCAAGAGCAGGCATTTTTTGCAGATACAATACTTACATATAAATTATTTTCACCTGAAGAATGGTTTGAAAATGATTCCGGATTTATAGGATATCACTGTTCTATTGTTTTCTCTTGCTATAATAGAACACTGCGGGTATCTTACAAAGAAAAGAGGTTTATGTTTCTGGCTCACGGTTCTGGAAGCCAGGAAGTCCAACACCTGTAGCTGCACCCAGTGAGGGTCTTGTGCTATTTCAGCTCTTAGTGGAAATAGAAGCACAGACAATGAAAGAAAAAAGACCCGGAGGTGGGTCTTTAGCAACCTGCTCTTGTGGGAACTGATGTAATTCCATGACAGCAAGAGCTCGCCCCTCTGAGAGACCAGCAATTCACCTCTCCCTGAAGGCAGACTGTGGTCCTCCTGAAGGTCCTCTCCACCTCTCAACACTCACATTGAGACCCAGCCTCGGTATGCATTCAGCAAAGAAGAAATCATACCCAACCGTAGCAACCACAAAAATAATTGCTTAGAGAAGAGTATGAAAGAGAAGATACTGATTCAGTATCTTTTTTGTTTTTAATTAATAACATGTTGATATTTGGACAAATCTACCTTTTAGTGATCTCTTCATGCAGATGTTAAGTATTAGCACTCAGTTAAGTGAACAATGAACATCCCGCTCAACACCACCGTGAAGGGGACATTGCCCTCTCTGTCACTGGAAAAATCCCTCCGAGTCCTTACCTCACGGCTGGCAGTACAGCCCGCCACAGTGCAAGCTTGGAGCTGGTAGGAATACTCCTGGGATGGGTGGATTCCCTCTGTATCCCAGAAGCTCAAGGAAGTTCCCCGAAATCGTTCAATTCCATTCCGGAGAATAATATAGTACGTAATAGGACCTAAAAGATACAGAGAAGTGGCTGTAGTTGAATATTGTATAATTTTAACTATTTGCAAAGAACTTACATGTCTCAGTGTCCCTAAGAAATGAAATACAGTAGCAATATTTAATTTTAATTTGTTACCATATTGCTATGCACAACTAGGTCTTAATTGTACTGTCATAGAGGAAATGGATCCTTGGCGTAATCAAGTCATTTATATTTATTTTCCTTCAGTATCAAAAAAAATTATTTTCAATATTAAAACTATTTCGACTTCCCTGAACATGCTCTGCTTATTTGAAAGCAGCTCAGATATATTTTAGGATTGAAGGAACTTTTAAAAAATTATTTTAGCTAATGAGTACATCGTGCAGTACACGAGGATGACGTTCCTTGTGGGAAGTTGGTACGTGCTCATAACACATCTTAATCTCTTTTTCCATCCCTTTCCTTTCTGCCTCCCCACTCCACTCATCTCTTGGTCTCCTCTCCCCACTTCCCCACTTTGGTGCATGTGTGCAATACACACTGTTTGCGTTCCTGGCGTGGAGTTGGTCCATGTACCTACCACATCCCAGCTCCTCTTTTCCTTCTCTATCTCTTCACTCCCTCCCCCTCTCTCCATCTCCACATCTCTTCCCTGCTGAGAAAGACCTATCTCCTTGCTTCCTATTATCTTTTTTTTTTTTTTTTTTTGGTACCGGGGATTGAATTATGGACCTTGTGCCTGCGAGGCAGGCGGAGGAACCACTGAGCTAAATCCCTGGCCCCGTATTATCTATTTTTTTTTCATTTGGCTTTTTATTTTTAAATAAATAAATAAATAAATAAATAAATAAATAAACAAACATGGGTTTCTCATGTAAGAGAAGTCATGTGATATTTAACTTTGTGTATTATTTATTTAGGCTAAAATTTCACGAGGGCCATGCCAGAAGGTGAAAGCTTAGATGGCACAGAAATATGTACTTTCTAGTGGTTAAGGCATGCCAAGGAAGTATAGATCACACTCATTTCAATATTCTTTTGGGTTCTTGAGGAGATTGAGCTGTTTCTACTTTAAAAGTAGCTTAATACCATTGGGCTGTATAGGTTTCCTCCAGTGTAAGACAACTGTATCTTCAGGGTCGCCCACTGTGGTCCACCGGGGGGGACGCACACTCTCAGGAACATCTTCCTTCGTGCTGGCTCTAACAGGATGGCTGAGCCCTGGCCCATAGCTGTTCCGTGCAGAAATCCTATATTCATACATGATGTAGGGCTCGAGGTTCACATCTGGAAAGACAGAACACAGGTTGTCATGTCCCCGTGTTTTTATTTTTACCATCATATTAAAAATGGATACCCAAACCTTTAAACGTATAAAAAAAAATGCTCTCATCTCTTTGTGTATCAAGTTCTAATATCTTTATTTTTAAAATAAAATATATTTTAAATGTTTATTAGACGCAGAGGTATGGAATTTCACAGAATAGAATTCATCATTTCTGAATAGAGAAATATGGAAACATTAAAGAAATGATTAAAAAGTAAAAGCACTAGACCAATGTATAATTAGATGTTTCACAAGCTAGTGTACTCCTTCTGTTTGAAACAGGTTTGCCAACATTATTTTTTAGTTTTATTATTATAAATTTTACCAAGTATTATTTTCTATTACTTTGTTAGACTATTAAATGAATTATAATGCAGGACTCAAAACTGACCTTCTCATAGTACCATGTTAATGAGTAACAATGGATGCTCTCAATCCACAGCATAATTCCTGTCTTCTCCTGCCAAAACCCAAACCAATAATGATCATTTTGTTTAAAATGATAGAGCCATCCCTGCCGAGATTTTGGACTGGACAAAGTTTTATTAGAAAATGCTCCTGTGAGTCCATGGTATCTTCAAAGCCTTGGCTTCAGGTTAAGTTTCATTAATCTAGGAAGTAGAAATACTCCAACTTTGCAGGAAAATTTGTATCTTAAAAATTAATCACCTAAATTTATTCACCACTTATTTAATCCTGTAAAGCTGGGACATTTCTTTGTTTCTTGCAGTGACTCTTCCACAGGCTAAGGACCAGCAGAGGAGGCCCTGCCTATTTTATAGGATTACTAGGAAAATAAAAATATAGGATTAATATGAAAATAAAATATAGTAAGTTATGTGGCAGAACTTCATAAAATGCAAATTTCCCTATAAATGTAAAGGATTATTGTTATGGTTTAGCAATATCTTGAATTTCCTCCAAGCCCCATGTATTAAAGTCATAGCTCCCAGCCTGTGGTATAACTGGGAAGCAGTGGAAACTTTGAAAGGCAGTAGGCTGAGGGAGGAAATGAGGCCATTGGGCGCATGGTCTTGGGGCGGATCTTGGGGTGCTGGTCTCTTCCTCTTTCCTTTGCTTCCTATTTACCATGAGATGCAGCTTCCTGTGCACAGGTTCTGTCAAGATGAACTGCTTCACAAAAGGCTCAAAAGCAATGCACCCACTCACCATGGCCTGAGACCTCCAACATAAACCTTTCCTTCTTACAAGCTGATATATCACAGGTATTTGTTATAGTAACAAAGCTGTCGAATTTAATCACATCCTGTCTCTATTTTCTCTGGTAATAGGATAGCTACACCACTTGTCTTTAGTGATCATCAGCAGATCCTCAAATGTCCCTTCCATCCTGTCTCCCTAACTTCTAGTTAGAAGCTATATTTACCCTTTTTTTTCTTTGAAGCTAGGTATGGTCAAAGGATTTGGATCTCATCATCTGAAGGAGTATGAACGAGAAACCGGAAGCTTTTAAATCTCCTTTAAAGGGGAATACTCTGCCTTCTTTTGCCAGGAATCTCCTGAAGAAGAACTGGAGCTGGGATGCTATAGGAATCCAGGCCAAAGCATGTGGATGGAGCTACCACCTGTAGCATAGTGAGCCACAAGAGGGGAAAGACTCTGTGACCATGTGGTAGCAAGCTGTCCAGACCACCCACCCACCCACACACAAATGCTCACTATATTTTACACCTCCTTGCTATAGCACGTTAAACTTCCCCGTGCTAATAACTACTATTCTGCACCTTCAAGCCCACATTGCCATTTCTAATTCCAGTTGCTGCAGCCCTCTGAGGGGCTTTCTATATTCTTTATCCTACAGTTTTGGGTCTCCTTTTTTTTCCTCTCTCATCTCTTCTTGTTTCTTTATTCTTCTGTGAGCACTAGTCTTTTAAAGATGCTCATGTAAACAGTCCTTTTGCTTTACATAGAATCATCTGTTGAAGTTTTGCCTTTCCTCAGCAATCTTTCTTATTTTCAAAGCTCCAGTTTTTCAAGAATTGCCATCTCCTACCTCCATTCTCTACATAGCCTTTTTTAAAACTACCTGTATGGATCATTCTGTATGGGGCTCATCTTCTAATAACAGAGGTATTTGAAGGTTTGGGAGACAGGTTTATTTGTGCCCCCCCATTAAATTTATTGGTACATTTTAGGTAAAAATACATTTACATTCATCATTGGGATCTTGTACCATTACATGAGTCTCTTGGTTCTTATTTTTTTCCCCTTTCCCTGCCCTCCCTTCACCCCCTCCACCCTTCCCTATTTGCAAAGATTTTGTTTCCATTTTCTCATATTTTTTTCTTTTCCATTCTTTCCTTTCCCCTACCCCTCCCACTTGCCCTGCTCCTTTAGACCTTTACATCCTATTACACAATATCAATTATACACTTTTTAAATTACAATATCAAGATCTAGGAGACATTACCACAGATTTTACAGAATTTAAAAGGAATAGAAAGCATATTTCAAAAATCTGTTTTGAAATAAATTTGACATCTTCTAGGAAGTACCTTGGAAGACAAATTAATGAAACTAACTCTGGAGGAAATATAAAATTTGAACAGCACCTATTAAAGAAAGTATATTCCTAGCTTGAAAACATACCTATATGACAACAACAGGCTCGTATACATTTTAACTGATGAATTATATCAAACAA